AATAGGAATAAAGAAACTTGACCAAGGACACATCACTAATAAAGAATGGGGCTGAACTAAAACTGTAATATTTGAGTATCACATGTCACATGTGATCCAGGAAGCCAACTCTCCCTCGCTGGATGTTGGGAGGTGCTGCCACCTCTCCAAAACAAACTCTGATGACAGTCAAAGTTTTGTCAAAAATAGTGACATTCTCCCATTGTACTTTACCACATAATATAGTTTTACTTTGGTGTATTTAGTAAAACTATGGCAGTAATGCAATTTACATAATATAAGCTTTATATTGCTGTATTTCATTCAGTATTATATTGCAATAGTCTTCTACAACCAAGTGAAGATATAATAATGACAATTAACAAGGAAAATAAATCATTAAAAGTTCAATACTCAAGTTCTCACACTCAAAAAATAGCAATTAGAGAGCAAAATGCTTTGCAGTGGCTTATTACCCAGCAATCTTTAGACTTCTTAGGGCCTTTACATATTACAGTGAGAAGCTGATAAAGGAATATTACACAGCTCGTAAGTGTGGGACTGAAATGACTTCTACACATCACAAGACAATAGCATAACACTCAAGTCCCAAAGAGTGAAGGCTCACCCAATGAACTGAGAATCAATTTGTGAAAGACTTTGGAAGGAGTGTGCATAGCAATCAACTCATCTGAAGTATAAGATACTTTCCCTGTCCTACAAGATCTAAAAACCCCAGTTAGTATGAAACCTGAGGAAGACATCATCACTTTAAAAGTTTAAAATGGGATAAGAGAGTGTATGAGTGTCCTATTAATGCTATAACAAATTACCACAAATAGAGTGCCTTCAAGCAACACAAATTTAACTTACAATGCTAGAAGTGAGAAGTCTGAAACCAGTCTCACTGGGCTAAAATCAAGGGGTCAGCAGCGCCGTGCTCCTTCTAGAGGCTCAATGGGAGAATTCATTCCTTTGCCTTTTCCAGCTTCTAGAAGCTGACTACATTCTTTGTCTCCATTTTCAAGGCCAACACTGGACAGTCAACTTTTTCTTATATTGTATCTCTCTAATACTGACGCTCCTGACTTCCTCTTTCATTTATAAGGACTCTTGTGACTATACTGGGACAATCCAAACAATCTAGAATAACTTCCCCATTGCAAGGTCCATAATCACTTTTGCAAAGACTTTTGCCATGTAACGCACATAATCGCAAGTTCTGGAGATTAGGATGTAGATGTCTTTGGGGGTCATTATTCTGTCTCCTGCAGTACATAATTTGTGCCCATTTGACAAGCCATCTGAAAAGTAGTTACTGGAATAAAGCATTTATTTCTCTACGAAACTGCATTTAGTGTAGTTTCTGCAACAAATGTAGTCTATAAAATCCACTTGGAATTAAACTGTACCTGAAGTGAGTAATCTGGGACCTAGAAAGGGGATGCAAGAGCAAGCAAGAGCGATAAAACTGGCAGGCATTCACAGGAAATTAGATGCAGGCAGCAGGCAGAGACAGTTGAAACTAACTATATATGCATGACGTACTAATTTTGAATTAATTTTGTCACACTCCATAGTTCTATTATCTTTTCTTAATAATGACGTAACTGTGTAAAAACAAATTTTTTAGTATTTATGATTGATGAATTATCATAATTAGAAATTATAGATACATCACTCAACACACTGCTTGGCACAATGAAGAAGAGCAAAATAGTGTCGAAATTTAAATTCTAGGTTCCAGAGTCTGATTCTGCCATTTACTATACCTGTGTGGTCTTCAGCAAGTCACTTATAATTTTGGTAGCTGTTCTCAGAAATTAAAAATAGGGATACTCTAAAACAGGGTTGCTCTAAAACAGAGTATGTAAGTGCAAAGACATGCTGGGCCACTGTTAGTGCTCAATAAAATATTAAGTGTTGTTATTAGGTGAACTCAGTCAGTAGTCTTGGGCAACCAGAGAAGAGACTTTAGTGTAAAGCTGTAAATTCTTATATATTTATCCCAAAGAACTGGAATCATCAGACTGATACATAAAACTGAAGAATTTTGAAGATGACTGTCACAACTGGCTAATTATTACGTTTCAGCACAAATCTTATACAATTATTATTTATCATAAGATGCAAAATTCCAAAGCTGCTCCAATAATATTTTGACAAAATATAAGATGAAATAGTGCTTCATCATAAAAACTTGATTCCCCTGTGAAATAGTGTCGAAATTTAAATTCTACGTTCCAGAGTCTGATTCTGCCACTTACTATACCTGTGTGGTCTTCGGCAAGTCACTTATAATTTCGTAGTGCTGGTGAGGTGTAATGGGAAAGCAAAAAAACAACAACAGAAAACCTCCCAAAGGGACACCATGTATGGTGTGCACCATGCACTGTGTGGGCCAAAGGAGTAAGAGAGGTGAGAGGTAAGACCAAAGACAAACCACTTCTGGTGCCGGAAGTTTAGAAAGTAATTTCTTTTCTTTAGAAAACTGACTAAACTACTTTAGTCCCTTGTCGGATTTTAAGTAGAATGCCATTTCACTCCTAATTTGTCTTTGTAGAAGCATACTGTATGGCTTTTGCATATACTAACTAAATGGCCTCATCCTAATCTGCTCTCTAATTCTAAGTTTCTGTTTTCCCTGTTTCATCCTTTCCAGCTAAGCTATCCAAGTTTCCTAATTAAAACTTCTCACCTGTAGTGAGTCTTTCCTAGGAGCTGAGGTGTGTGGGCTCTGGCACGAGGATTATGCACATCCGTCCATGGCTCTTCGGGCTTGCTTTCTACCTATATTCTCAGTGCAAGAGATTATCAGGCAGCCACTCTGAAAACAGGTGAGCTGCAATTTTATCTAAGCTCAGCCTGTCTCAAAGGATCTTGAGTGAATTGTACATTTCACTAAACATCCAGAAGCATCATTTATAATTACTTCTTAATCTAAAATGACAAAAATGTAAAGTAAGGTGAAGTCTGGCAGAAACTTCTTTCCACGCTAGATACATAGGCTATGAGAAAACCTTAAGACTGTAGAGAAGATGTCAGGAAAAAAAATCAGTGAGACTCTCTTTTTCACCTACATCGTAAAATAAAAAGAAAGAAATAGGAGTACAGTATTTTCTGGCAATATCAAAAGTATAAATTCCCATCAATTCTGCAGAACAATCCAAGTTAGGCTTCCTGTAGAAAAGTATATCTATCACCGGATTTGCTAAATCTGAACCCAAAGAGCCTTAATCCTTTGCTAGGATTTTAAATGATTATCTCATTTTTCACCTTATTTAGTAGTGCTGGTGAAGTTCCTTAAAACAGAGATTAATATAATAATCCTGTTTCTGGGTCTAGTGAATGGGCTAAGGTTGAAAAGAACACTGCCAAGATAGTTAAAAAGAATTCTCTAAAAGGCAGAGCTCTCTAGGGCAAATTATTTCCCTGAGCACTGTTCAGGGACACATCCTCCTGTAATGAGGTCCTGGATGAGGCCGGGGTGAGACGTCTTCTTCCAGCTCCTCTTAAACTTGTCACTTCTCAGCTTTTCCTTTTAATCCACTAGCCATCAGTGCAATTTGAGACAGGAAGCCCTTCCTCATTAGCAACCCAAAAGCCTAGAACATTTCAGAGGAAGGAGATGGCCATAGAGAAGCAGCAGAAAGTGGAACAGTGAGACACAGAAGCGGAGGTCCTTTAACGTCGTGAGCATAAATATCACAGCATTACTCACTGTGAGACCCAACAACACTCTAGAACTATGCACAAAACCATGTACAGCAGGGTCAACTGCAGAGAACAAAGCTTTCTTTTTCATTCATTAAGTCAGTAAGTGTTCTGTGAGAATCAAGTTTGAGGAAGATTTTGTACCAGACATTATTAATACAAGGAACACGGAAGAAATAAAAGCCTCCCAGTTCGTGTCCTCTAGGAGCTGACAATCCATTTAGGGAGATAGGTCCCTTATGAAGTGGCTACTTACAATGCAAGGCGAACCAGGATTGAGTCCCAACAGAAAATGGGAAAAATACGTGGGCAGAATGTCTGCAAAAACTAATTAAATTTGAAAAGCCCAAAAAGATCTTTTCGGGGGGAAAGTAAATTTTACCTAAGTTCAATAAATCATTTATTTACATTCCAGGCCAGTTGGTTAACACACACACACACACACACACACACACACACACACACACACACAGTACCTGAGACTGCAATAAACAATGCAGAGAAACATGTTCACAGACACAAATTGGCCTCGTACACACAAGATGCACAGCAGAAGAAACTGAGGCAAGGATCTCACAGGGAGAACTACAGTTCAATTCTGAAGGACACATTACCCGTTGATAAGAGGAGTCCAGCAAGGAAGTTGTAATAAATAATGACTCATCAATAATCCAGTTTATTGCAACTGAATAGTCTAATTTATACCTTTTTCTGTTTGGTGTCAGAAGAAAAATCCCATTAAAACAGGACACTCGCAAAGGGATTATCCCCAAGTAGATGGCAGGGCAGGTTCAAACATTTTTGTACTACTCAATTTAGTGTTTTACTTCAGCAATAAAAACAAAGCTACTATCACAAAAGATAGCTGTGTGCAACTACTTTACGAAAACTCTTAACCATAGTTCTTTATAAGACTTTCCTCCCCATTGTGTTCTGTACTTTGAAACATGTTCAGATCTCAGGCATTAAGTTGAATATTTAGCAAAGGCCAAGAATAAGCTCTGGAGACAATGACAGTGAGAACTCCAACAGCCTCAGAGCCTGACGCTAATTTATTGAGACGAACCAGGATCTCTTGGGAATGTAGTGCCTGCTGATGAGGCTACCATATACAGATTCCCAAACCTCGACAAAGTTTTCCCAAACATCTGATGGAGAACTTTGATTTATGGGCTGTCCAGGTGAAATGTGAACAGATGGTATCTTTTAATAATAACTGGCACACGAGTTTGTTAAGGAACTCAGTCTCCAGAAAGCACACAGCTCTCTAGAAGAAAGCACAGAGGAGTGTTTTTAGAGTCACGTACCTTGTCTTTGTCTTCCACGACATCTGCCAGGATATCATCTGGATCCAGGATTCCCCCATCTGTGTATTCTAAGTGATGAATCTTCACCCAGTAGCCAGGATCCTGCAGTAGAACCAGGAACAAGCTTCATGACTCAGAATTTTCCAAAACATAAACTACATTTTAATTTTAAAAGAAATAAACTGGCTCATTACAAATATGCTCTAGTAATAATAAAATTTTTAAACACCAAAATCAAAAGTTATCTATTTACTTGGATAAATATTTGGCATTTTTATCCTGTTTAACATAAATCAGTAAATCAAAGTATACATATTTCATCAATTATTCTGGAAAGCAAATTGCAATGCAAAAAAAATTGCTCAGCTATTTGTAAAGCATATTTAAGAAATTTTTTATAACCTACAATTTAGGTAATCCCAAGAATATTTTGGAAAGGAAAGATCTTCTTGAGGGTACTTTCTGAAATTGAGGATTGGAAGTTCACACTGAGATCCCAAAGCTGCAGGGGGCAGGGGTCAAAAGGCAAAAGCTATGACTTTGGAATAAATGAATGAAGTGAGGTGACCACAGATCTCTTAGCCCATTTGGATCACCATGCTCTCTGCGTGTCCTCAGTGCTAAAATTGGCACTGATTTTGGGAGCAAGAGCTCTAGCATTAGTTTCCATGACAGCAACTCAAACAGTGTTAGAGTTGAATGGGGGTTCACTCAATTGGGGTACTGACTTAGGAGCTTTTCAAGTATTGTTTTTTTAAAACTGCTTAGGAGCATAAAGTTTAAGGAAAAGAACTGTTTTATCAGTTTGATGAATGACTAGATACACTGACACTACAGCTTAGAATTAAATAATGTAGCTCATTTGTTTACTTCTGTACTGCCCATTTCCAGAAAAGATATGTAAGCGAAACATTATAGTGATGAGACAAGAACATAAACCAATGAATGAAAAAAAAACAAAAAACACAAAAAACAGTAGTAAGGTTTTTTACCAGAACTGCCAAGCTATAATCAATTTGGTTCTGTGATTCTTAGAAAGCCCCTCAAACTGGGAAACTTTTGAGCTATAAAGCACTCAGTTTCCAATAAAGGGACACCAGTTTGTGAGAAGTGGAAATTCTTTTAGGATAAAGGTCTAAACCTTTACTACATGATCTTTATAAACTATTAAGAACTAACATAACCCACAGAATTCAAGTACAATTCTACAATGCCTAATTGAAACAGCTGTCATACAGCCTCCTCTTAAATGTCCCACACTATTAAATAATAAGTCAAGGGCATACCATTAAATAATAATTCCTTTAAAGCATCTATTCAATAGGTTTCTGAAATGTGGCCCAAGTACACAGCTTTTCCATATCTGACTTGACAAAGTAATAGGCTTTAAAAATCCAAAGGAATTCTCCTTAGCTAGGCTTTCGACATTTCAAAATTAAGTTTTCTACAGAGTATCTGAAGAGCTATTCCAAGCAAAATGAATGGAATTCCTTTTGCTTCTAATACTAGGCTTATAAGTGGAAACACTAATGATTTATTAGAAAACCTTGCCTGATTTTATTGCCCAGATAGAGATCACAAAGACATGAGCAGTGATTATACAACCATGTAAGAAAAGGATGACACTCATCAATCGGAGTCTTTAATCAGAGATCTTTGCCAACTCAAGGTGATTGTGCTCTAAAAGGCAGCTAAGAACAACAAACTAGATTCTAATTAGGTAGAATGCTGGGGAGACGGAACACTATGCAGTGGACACTAGAAAAGACAGCACGAAAGAACGTCCCCAGTAATCTTTGGGAATTAAATCTTTTTGCTACAGCCATGCCACAAGCAACATACTTCTCCAAACCTACCCAAAACTTCTGGCTGAAATCTATGGAGTATTACATTTTCCTTGTAAAAATAGCCTTCTTACAAAAGAAGTTCAATTTAATTAATTTCTATTAACTTCCACTGAGTTAGTTTTTGATATATTACACAGTGCTGTAGATAAAATCTGTTGATCTTAACCATGTTTATAAAAGATGATGTATCCTAAAGAGCTTGCTTTTTTATATTCAATTACTTAAAAGCTGACATCTATTAAGTTGTCTACTTTTTTCTCATGTTGAGTTTGTAGAAGCAGATTTTATCAACTAAGATGGAAGTAAACAACTACCCCCAACAACTGCAGTTCAAGTTAAAGTCTACCTCTCTTCCTGCCTTGTAGGAACAGAGAGAAGAAAACCAAAGACTCAGATTCAAAATAGGGAAACCCAGGAAATAGCAAGGGATTGGATCTGATCAGTGGCAAAGGGAGCAGCAAACAAGTGGCAGCAAGATGGGGTTGTTAAGTCACATACCGCTCCTCCCTCAGACATACTTGTGGGATCGAAGAGGTTCAGAAAATGAGGCGCAGGAGTTGAGACTAAGACATGTTTTCTCTAATTTTGATTCAAAAGAGTAGAGAAAAAAGTTTTACAGAACTAAATCAAAGGAAAAACGTAATTTGATATATTTTGGATTCATATATTCAGTTCCCCCTCTCCCACAATTTTTTAAATGAAATATATGGTGTCAGAATATAAACAGGCTATTTGCAATTTTAACTCTCCCCATTGCATATTGATACTGCATTTAATATACTCGAAAGAAGGGAAGACTAGGTTAACAGTGAGCACACACGTAATCCTAAACAAAAACAGATAAGCTATATAAAAGTAATCTCAGTTAATGGATTACACATCCAAGAGGTAAATCAACAAACACAGCACACACCAGCTGTGATTTTTGTCCCCATGGTATTTGGGCCATGGTGCTATAGATCACTATAAGAATATACATACAGTATTAGCAGCTGACAGCCATCAAAGACCATAAATTCACCCTGACTCATTTATGCATGTAAAAATTTCAACCATTACCCTGCAGTCAACATTTTGAATTTCATTCACTTGCTTTTATTACCATCAGGAACAAAACTGATCAAACATGAAAAGATGTTCATGTGCCTGTCATGATTCACACAATCACTTAGAAAAATTTACTGTATTTTTCATGATCGTGACATTTAATCTTCCTTTACATTGCAAAAATATTTCTAATACATATAACTTTAAAATTATTTTCAAAACGTCTCTAGTATATGTGCTATGCAAAAAATCTTATTACTTACACTCTTAGGATCATTAAAGTATTTAAAAAATCACATAATATACATTATGTTTCCTCCACTTCTAATAGTAACTTATCTGTTTTTTAAATAATGCACAGTTAACTTAAACCCAACTGGAATTTTAAAACAGTTTACAAGGGTGAACTGGAATAGGAAACACACGTATTACAGGAATAAGACAATTATAGGGTACTTTTAAGAATCAATGTAAAAATTGTTCCAAACAGGCATTGATATTAGTAGCAACAAATATTCTGCACTGTGGACAGATGACATGAAATCTGTCCCTATACCTTAGAAAATTTATAATAGCAAAGTTTTGAAGAACAACAATTTTCCATCTGCAATACCTAGAGGAAGAGACTGGCAAGGCAGATACTACAATGCTGTGACTACCCAGCACTGAGATTATGTCAATAATCAAGAGGGGAAACGTGGAGGTTTCTAAACAAAATGCCTCCAGTCCAAGAAGAGACAAAAGTACCCTGCAGTGGTAGTAAGGTCCAAAAGGGAGCGAATCTCTGCATAGAAAATGCCAATTCTAGAGAAGGGCTGTGTTTATCAGTAGTGGCAATAACAGACCTCAATAATGCAACTGGTCTTTGTAGCTTCATGTTTTTACAAGAATAATCTTACCCAGTAGAAAACAAGAACAATTGTAAAATGGAAGTTAATAGAAAATTAGAATTTTCCTTATAGAATTTAACTCCGTGAATTTGGTACAATATATCCATAAATAATTTTTCTCCATTTTCATCATTATTTTCATCATCATAATAGCAGATAATTTTTTTCAGTACTTACTATAAGCCAGAGACTGTAACAGGTACTCCATGTTTTATGTTATTAACTCATTTATCCTCAAACAGGCTCATGAAGTAGTTATCACTCCATCGAACAGACGAGGAAAGCGAGGCATAGGTAGGTAAATTAACTTACCCAAGGTCAGATGCTTAACAAACAGTAAAGACTAGGTGCATTTTTTTTAACATAGAAAAAAAAATTAGATTAAAGAACTTAACAAAAAGGACAATTATCTAAGAATAAAGCAGGGGATCATATCCATTTCTATCGCTACTTAAGTATATGGATCCAGGCAAATCATCATTACTCTGGGCCTGAGCTGCTTCATCGTTTGTGAACCTAAAGGCTCTATGGCCTTCTGCACAATGTACCGCACAGAGGCCCAACTGTAGAGGACACAAGAGGACAATAAGGAAAAACTGTGAAGTTTTTGCATAAGTGTGTCCAGTGTTTCACAAGTGAGGGAAAGTCCCCAAACATAATTCCTTGTAATCATAAAATTGAAGATTTGGTAAGCAATGCAAATAGATTTTCCTGCTAAGGGCAGAGAGGGAGCTTGGGGCACTAGAAGTTGGGTAGAGAATGATGACGGTTTATATGCATGCACATCTTAGCTAGGGACTGCTATCATAATCCTCTGAAGTTCTCCCCTCCCTCCAAGACCGGAGGAAAATCAGATGCCCCAGAATGCGCCAGGAAAGACACAGTGGCCACAGCGGGTCTGGAGGCTGTCTGAGGCAGGCGGAGAGCAGGAATAACCAAGAACAGAGAGCAGAGGAAAACAGGAGTTCCAGAAAACGACGCCTGAGCAAACACAGCAGAGCAGCACTGACACATGAAAGGAAAGAATTAGGCCAAAAAAGGCACCAGTGAATGTAGAGCTTATTACGAGCTGGCCCTAACTGACTTCAGAAGATGCCTCTGACTTCCTGAATCAGATCAACCAAGTCAAAGCTGAGAAAAGACTAGGGGAGGAAGATGAGCTGATGCCACTTTAAATTAAAGTATGTTTCCAAGGAATGCCGGGCAACTAGAAGAGACCAAAGGTTTCTATACTAGGTTGAAAGTAATACCTGGGGAGTTCAAAACAGAATTATAAATCTCAATTTATGCATAATATGAAGGTGAATCAGTACATCTG